ACCGCTCAGCCGAGGAGCCGGAGCAGCTCCCTGCCAGGGGAAGGAGCCGAGAGCGCAGGGTTTGGTGCTGGAGCCACGGGCACTGCACCAGCACGCGGACTGCCGAGTCCCGCAGCCCTAAACCCGCTGAGAGGCACGGGAGTCGCTGTGACCAAAGCAGCAAAAGAAGTGAACGTCAGGCTGTTTGGTACCGCGCGCCCTCGCTGCACCGGAGGGTTTTATGAAGCTGAAGTTCAGGATGCTTCATCCATTCTACAGCAGTTTCACGAAAGAGCATTTTCTCCCCTTTCCTGCATGTTTATGATTTTATGGAACCACGGAATCTTTGTCGGGAATCTTTATCAGCGTTGTTGGCTTCAGCGACCTCGGGCGCACAGCGGGGAAGGCACGGCTGCGGCAGGGCTGCGCAGCGCGGCCACGCCAAGCTGCAGTGCTCGACTCCCCCTGCTCCCGCTCCCCGCCCGTGGCCTTCTCCCGCCTTGGGTCTCCTCCGTGGGCGCCCAAATGCTTCAAGCTCGTCCCTGCCCCGCCAGCCCTTCCGGGGGAGGCAGCCCCAGCCTCCTTCCTCCCCCCAGATCTTTAGGAAGTGCCCAGCCCCAGGCCAGGATGCGAGGGACGCGTTCCGCGAGCCTCGAAGGGTGCTTGGCACCAGGCACAGGGGACGCCAGCTGCGCTGCGTCCGACCGCAGGCGGGCATACGGAGGGAAGCGCTACCCGACCCCGGAGACCTTGGGGCGGTCAAGGACAAACAAGGGATGCAGGTGGACCCGGGAGTGACGCAGGGGAGGCCGCTTGCTGGAAACACGGCGCTGTCTTCCAGAGACGGCTGTATTTGTGCAAGCCTCGTCCCAGCCTCCGCCCAATCATAGAATCATGGAATCGCTTTGGTTGGAAAAGCCCTTTAAGATCATCAAGTCCAACCTTTAACCTAACCCTGCCATCCCACCCCCAAACCCTGGCCCTCAGCATCTCATCCATCCTTCTTTTAAATCCCCCCAGGGGTGGGGACTCGACCACCTCCCTGGGCAGCCCATTCCAGCGCCTAATAGCCCTTTC